TCGTTTTGGCACGTGCCCATATATACACGGGGCCCAAGGCTGGGAATTCTTTGGGCCAAAGTATATACTACAAACATAACTAACTGGACCCTTTGGGAGAAAGGAAGACTTCTGGGCAGACCGCTGTGGCCCTTAAGAACATGGCCATTTCTGTAAATAGGGGCCCCATATGACCTGGTCAATATTTACAACATAATTTCAATGGACATGGGTTCATCATTCGGGGCTGTATTAGGGACTATACAAAACTACGAGAGGGACCCCTATGTCCACTATAAAGGGTCGTTTAATAAGGCTAATATTGACAGTAGCTCCTATATAGATCCCAGTATTCTAGATTCCTTACTATAGAAGCTCCCCAGCAAGGAACCCTAAACCCTAAGCCCCTAGATCCGAAACCCTAAACCCCTATACCGTACCCTACACCCCCAGACCCTCCCCAATGGCGTGCATCGATGAAATTATCAGGCGCGGGGCCGCGCCACCGAAGAGTGCACTGGCTTTTCCAGGTGTCCTCCAAAGGTTTAGGGGTTTAGGGTTTGGGGTTTAGGATTGAGGGTTTAGGGTCCAAGCCCTGCGCCCCTAGAATGGGCGCTTCATCGTGGAGCTGCTTTATACCTAGTCGACACCCCATCTGCCTTTCAGGGCCAACAAAAAACGGATTTAGGGTTTAATCAGGGTTTGGGCTAATCAACCAAAATAGGTATGGTACAGGCCCACAAGTGGACACCAAATCCATACACGCACCAATGTTCCCAGGGATCTCTACTTGCACTCGCTAAAAACCATGACAGGAAGTCTAGTTCAGCTGGCAACTTGCGAATCGGGATGCATGGGCTCCTAATGAGATTATACTGGGGATTAGGAACTATGTACTCAGAGGCTCATGTCCTCAGTCTCACGGCAACTTTCCACTGTTACAAAACCCTGAGATGCAAGCTGATCTGGGATCGCTTTCTATCTGAATTACAATGATGGGATGACATCGGATGACTTCGCTAGGTGACCTGCCCAACCAAGAAGTTTAACACTGGCGCTGCTATCGTCATCACGCTCATGTAGGGTTCAGGGTGTAGAGGCAGCAGCTACCCTAAATGCAAGGAAAACCCTAAACCCTAAATCTCCAAACCGCAGACCCCTGTGGCCTGAAGAATGATGTTTCTCCATCTACTTCTCACGACAGTTCTGTGGCTGCACACAAAGCTATGGGTCTAGAAATCAAACGGGTACATGTAACTAGAACCGAAGCAACTGTCTAGGAAACAATTCGGGCACAAATTCTATTTCGTAACCCTACACCATAAACCTCCTAAACCCTTCAAATCCCAAACCCCGTAAACCGCTTGAAAATTCCTAAATCCCCTAGCCCTAGACTTCCTTAGGCCCACAAGTCCCCTAAACCCTTTAGGTGGAACCCTCAAGTTTGAAGCCTAAGCCTCTGCAACACTGTGAAATTTCTTCAGAGACTCTGCATTGAATGTGTCTAGGAGTTTGGGTTTAGGGTTTAGGCTAGGGTGTACCTGGACCCCAAAGTAGGTAGAATAATGGCCCAAAACCCAGAAATGTAGCCCAAAAGCTCATTATTCTACGCATTTTGGAGGTTCAGGTAGGTCTTAGGAGGGTTGAGGCCCCCAGGAGAACCTTGATCTTTCAACCCCTCTATGGTACTTTCCAAAACATGGGGTTCCAATATACACCCCAACCCCAATACGCAATAGTTCCTAGGTAGTAGCGACTCCCGACAGGGACCGCCGATTTTGCGGAAACTCTGCTCCCTAAACCCTATGTAACCCTACATACCCATGTAATCCTTGAATTGCTTTCCCATACGGTAGTTGTCTGAAATGCCTGTCCCCAAATGGCCATCACTTTTCAAGGAAATGGCGTCCTACCCTCTTTAAAGAGGAACCCCCTGAACCCCTAACCCCAAGCCATAGACGCTTCTGCGAACCCCCTAAGCCGCATCTTATATGAGCTACAGTCAATATTTCCTACATAACTTAATGGTTAATATTGACAGTAGCTCATACCTAAACCCACAACAGTAGGTAAATAATGGCCCAAAGACCCTAAATATAGCCCAAAAAGCCATTATTGTACGTACTTTTGGGGCCCAGGTATAACCGCCATACAGCCCAAAACCCCATATATCCCAAAACCCCAAACCCTAAACCGAGGGTTTAGGGTCCCCATATATCCCAAGGGTCCCAATGCACCAGCCTCGTCGCTGGCCAAGGCATGAAGCTTCGCGTGTACGGGGCTCAGGTGGCATAGGTCGGCTGGGGAGAAATAGGACAACACCTGGCAAGGCTTACAGGGCTCGGGGCATCGAATTCAGGCAGGATCCATTATAGGGTAAAACATTTAAGGATGAGAGTTTACCATTTTAGGGCTTAGAGTTTAATTCATGAGGTTAGGGACTCAGAACTCAGGGCTTTTGGCTTCGGATTTTTAGATGAGGGTTAGAACTTGGGGCTCGTGGTTTGGAATGTTTGCTTTCTTGATGCTAGAATTTAGGTTTTAGGGTTGTCATCTTGGTATCATGTGGCAGGGCTCAGAGTTAAAAGGTCAAGGGGGCTTATGGGCGACAATCCCCCAATTGGAAGTAACATGGAGCCACCGAAAAGGGCGTGTCCCCTCCAAAGGTGTCGAATCCAGGGTTCCATTCTTGCAAAGTAGTGTTCGAGAAACTGGCTTTTGTGGTTCAGAGGCATTTTGGCAAGCTAGACCCTGATTCCAAAATTCATGAATGGGCATAAAATGGTTTGAGACATCGGGTTCTAATCGCCAAAAGTCTAGAATAGGTGCTGAGGCCTGACAACTCACCTGGTTCCTTATCTGAATCGTTTAGGGTATACGGTTTAGGTTGTAGGGTTAGGGAGTAGGGTTCAGGGTTTAGGGCTAAGGGAACATGTTTCTTGGACCCGCCAACTGCTCTCTATGACGGCCCAAGCACCCACAATCGGAACCATATGTCCCCAATTAAGTAATTAAGAACGTCGTCATACCTTACTGTCATTGCGCGTGATGGGATTTAACAGTTCTATCCAACATGACCCAGAGGGGGGTCCCATCAAGACCTTCAACCCCACTTCGGGAAAGGCTTATATATGTGGGCTTTCTCGATACCTTTTAGGGGGGGACCCTTTCAGAACTCACCGCTGCAGGCACAACACAGAACTCAGAACGCCATCTGTTTCTAGCTTGTCGTGCCCGAGAAAACCTTAGACCTCTCATCCGAAGCCCTCAGCGGCAAAACCTGAAATCGTTTCAGCAATAAGGCGCTTCCCGCTACCACCGACACTCCACATGAACAAGCCTTCCACCCCGCACTGCGTTCCTCAGTCTTATTGTCTTGCTTTCCAATGGAACCAAGCATTGCGGTATTGTTGAATGTGTCTCTCTTCTAGCACATGCCTGCACCCCACCGCGGTTTTGTTTCAAGACGGCCTACGCATTACCTCTGCATATCGGAGCTTCCGAAAATTACGGAACCAATTGAAAAGTACGAACATTGATATACAATTAAGATAAGGTTTTCCTTGAAACTTGCTGGATTTTGCGCTCTGGCTTCGCTGTCTTTATAGGTCCCCAGAGTGACGATTCCTACGCAGCCAGACCCTAGACGCGATCGTTACTAATTACTACCTAAACCCCAAAGGTAGGTAAAATAATGGCCCAAAATCCCTAAATATAGCCCAAAAGGCAATTATTCTACATACTTTTGGGGTCCAGGTAGGGGTATCACTAACCTTACTCCCGGTTTAAGGCTTAAGGTCCACAAACTCCAACTTCTGGGTTGCTGTCAAGGAGCTTAGTGTACGTTACCCTATTGGGGAAGGCCTATGGATTCCTATATATATATATATATACGTATAACCCATTATGGTAACTTAATGTAAGTTCTTCAACCCTAAACCCTATATACCCCTATATACCCCTATACACCCTATATACCCCTATTATACCCTTACTATCTTAAGTTCTTTTACAGCAACCCAGACTTTGGCCCATTAAAATCCTCCGGCCTTCAACCAAGCCTCCTCTAAGATGGGGGGCCTCGGCTGCACAGCTTAAGAGATTATATGAGCTATAGTCTAAACTCCTTAAAGGGTTATATAGGGGATTATAGAGGGGACTACTACAGGGGTTATTAAGGGGCATACTAGGAGTTCAGACTATAGATAAAATAATACCCCTGGGGTTTGGGGTCATTTAGGGTTTATAGGGCTCTGCGGCTTTCAGGACTTCAAGGTCAATATGGCCCGTACGTGCTTCCTGGGTCCGGACTACGGGCCATGACTTGGGCACCATAGTTCCAACTTTAGACTACAAGGTCCTTGAGGGTTCATAGTTTTTGGGTCTCGTTTGTGGGCTTAGAGCTTGGCATTTGAGGTTTTTGGGTTTAGGTTGCAGAGATTTACGGTTTAGGGCTTTGAGGACGATTCTCGAACCGGGCTTGTAATCTGGCGAAGACAGCGGATGTTTCAACTTAGACTGAAGACTTACACTGCCCCAAGATGTTCTGGCTTGCTGTTAAGGAACTGAAACTACGTTAGCACAATGCGTGTATATATATATACATATGTAGTAACTAATAGGGTTTCCCCAGTGGAGTAACTTAAGCTGAGTTCCTTAACGGCAACCCAGTTACACGGGTGTTAGGGCTTCAGGGCTTAGGGTCTTTTTCCCGGGACTGTAGTCTTAAAAGTGCTTGAGTGCCTTTTGCAGACAGGGGGTGCTTGGGCATTTTTGACACAGGCCATTCAGCAGGGATTTGCACATGGCTTTCCGTACCCTCAAACAAGTGGCCCCTGGCAGAGAAGATCGCAAGACTCCCCCAAAGGGTCCATGTAGGTATATGGTATATACTTAAGGCCCAAAGGGGTTCCCATATACCTACTTCAACAAAGGCCCCAAGTATATACTAAAGGGACTCTACTGGGAACCCCAAATAGGAAACCCCAAGAATATAGCAGGAATATAATGGAATATAAGGACCCTGGTAGGTATATTCCTATTATATACCTACCATATTCTTGGGGTTCCCGGTTTGGGGTTCCCAGTAGAGTCCCTTTATATACCGTATAGCTACATGGACCCTTTGACTTCTAGAAAGCCACAGAACCAGTCGCCTCTCTCAGAAATTTCTATCAAGGTAGTGGATTAGCCCCGCTGCACTGGAAAGTGGACGCCACGAGAACCGCCAGATTCATTTTGAGGTCAATTTGAACTACCCTAAGTACCAAATCATTCCAAGAGGAACCTAGGATTAAATCATATTACTGATAGTTAGCCGAGGCTGATGCAGCCTCAGAGTGTCTGGAACCCTCTATATTTCCAGTGGTCGGCGGCCCGGTTGGATGTATGCATAGACTTCCAGCAGGGTTCCATCCTCATAGAAGTTATAATAAGGGGGGATATATGGTTTACGGTTGACGTACAGCCCCTGCCCCGCCCCCCGCCCTACGGAGTGAGCATCGCTTTCTGTGCACCCACAGCCGAGGCAGGCGCACGATGGCGCTTACAATTATATAGGCACCCGCAATAGATGATGTCACCGTTAATCGTGTTTCTGCATTCCTCGGAGAATGCTAGAAGACATTGTCCAAAGGAAATTCTTGGTAAGGTTACTGGCAACTACCAGAGCAAGAAGACTTTACGATTCGCCATTGAAAATACATAACAAAAACCTATCAACCACACCTGTATCTTTGCTGCAACCAGCAGGAAGTTCCTCCTCAAGCTTGCTTCCTTGTAATGAGTAGGGAGTGGAGAACATAAGGATTTCGCAGCTATTGTGAGGACCCATGCCCGCACAACAGGCAATGAACGCTGCCCGCCTAACACTTCATACCCTAAACATTGCCCAGCGCAAGCCGAAAACCCAAAACCTGACGCCCTACCTGACCCCCAAAAGTAGGCAACACAAATTAGGGTTCAGACTTTAGGGTTCCTGCCTCCAACCTATCTTTGAAGAAACGGCCAAAGGCCATGATTCAAGATCCCTTTGGTGTTCAGGAAAGCGCAGAAGGGGGCTTGTTGAAGAGAGGATTGATCCCAAAAGCTCAGGGCGGGACCCATCACTTCGGGTTGGCTCGGTCCTGCTCAGTAGTCATATGAACCCTAAGCCCTAGACTCCCCTAGACCCTAAGGAGTCATATATCCCTCTCAAAGGCACACAGAGGATACATACCGTAGGGTTTGGGGTTTCCGTCAATTCGTGACCCGGGTGTTGGAGGTCCCAATCCTAAAGGGCTGTGGTATGTTGGAATATTTTGGGCCCCCTATTAATGAACACAAGCATTCATACATGAGTAACTAGGGCCAACTAGGCTTTAGGATCCAAATAGCAGCTATAATTTGAACTCCTAGTATTCCCCTTCAGAAGCCCTATTACACTCCCTGTATAACCCCCTATAGAACCCCCTTTACGGAGTTTAGACCAGAGCTCACGTAGCTTTCCTTGCCACCCCCCGCCCATACTGCCCCGCAGAAGGCGGAACTGTATCCTCCAACTTCACGTCGCCGAGAAGGAGTTGAAGCTCGCAGCAGTGCAGTTGCATCGTCCTTCTGTGACCCGCAACGAAAAGGCTTTGAAGCCTCTGGAAAACTTCCATCTCCTTAGTCAGACTGCTGCTCACCTGTAAGGCTGCAAGAGGATTTGCTCAGCGGTCAGCATTCAAATCATCTTCGTAGCACAGAAAGCAGTCAGGTGTTCAGCATAAATCCAGCCATTTTGTGAGTGCTATCTGGATAAACCGCCAAGTGCAACGAGGTCGTGTGATGTCACTACAACTGTAATCTCCTTAGACCTGTAATAAAATTCAATTTTCAATAGTTCCTTAGGGTTCTCCTGTAATACAAATCAGAAGATTGCCTCATAATGAGACTACAGACAATTTGTCTCAATAAAGATTTGGGTTTGGGGCTTAGGGTCTGGGACTTAGGTTTCAGGGTTTAGGGTTGGGGCTTCTGAGTAAGATGATAAGAGGGCCACCTACCTTAATGGGGGCGCAACAAACATGTGTTGACATGGGAGTCCCCCAATAGAGGAATACCCGAAATTCAAGAACTGTAAGTTCGTGATCTCAGGGTGTGTACGTTGTTTGTGGGTTGCGGGCGCCCTAACTTAGGACAAGATGCCATGGTTTAAGAAGCCCAACGCAAGGGTACTAGCCCTAAGGGTACAAAGAAGAAATCCCCGGTCAATGTCACATGAGCTCTAGTCTAAACTCCTAGTATCCCCCTTAATAAGCCCTATAGTAGTCTCCTATATAATCCCCTATATAACCCCTTCAAGGAGTTTAGACTACAGCTCACATAGTACTTCAGACTATCTTTGCCAGTCCTGACCACCCGCAAGCTTCAAACCCTAAGCCCTAAAACCCTAACCGCGTGGCTGGTCGCTACCGGGCTGTGGAAACCATGAGCCCCGGAAGGGTGTTGAAGGATGTAGGACTTAAGGATTCGGGTCGAGGATAACGGAATCGCGTTTCGGGCTTCAAGGTATGCTGTTCAAACTTTAAGGCTCATAGTGCAAACCATCAGGTATATAGTAAAGGGACTTGAATGGGAACTCCAAGCAGGAAACAACAAGAAGATCGTAGCAAAAATCTCAAGAAGATGGTAGGAATACAATAGGAATATACCTACCAGGTTCTTCCTGTTCCTTCTATATCCCTACTAGATTCTTGAACTTCCCGGTTTGGGGTTGCCATTCAAGTCCTTGTTAGTAAAGTTTAGGGGTAGGAGCGGTACTTGCAGCATGGGACTCCGTATATTATGCCCATATTATGGTAAGTAATCTTAAGTCCCTGAACAGCCACCCGCTGATTCAGGGATTGAGGCTCATGGGGTTTGTATGGCTCATTGGAAAGAAACGAGCAAGACAAGGTTTAAACTCCAAGCAATGATTAAACCCTGAACCCTATGTGTAGCACTAACTGCCCACAAGTCAGCAAGTAAACCTAAGGGCCCAAGTGCTCAACAATCGACTTCTTCTGAATGTAGATGAAACTGCGGCTGAGCAAACAAAGATTGGCGTCAACAAAGGCTTGCAGTCACCTCATATCATGTGTATTTGCCACCTTACAAAACTCGGGTTCTGGCAAGATATTGAACGTCTCGTCAGACGTCACATCTCTTTTCATCTTGTGTATCGCTGACTTGGAATCTGCAGCTGCTACACCAAGCAGGACTGATGTAGATTGAATGTGAAGGGTTCGTCGCCGTCGTCCTCGTCGTGCCCCAAGACCTGTACTAAAATCGCTAATACCAAAATCCAAAATACCCGGTTGTTGTCGGTACATGAACCCTCGGGGATAAGTAAAACGCAGAAAGCTATAGGAAATTCTGGTGACTGGTGAACCCTAGGCTACGAAGGCCTACTTTCAGCTTGAATGAGCTTCGTACCTAAGGTTTAGGGCTTACTTTTAACCAAACCCGAACCCTAAACCATAAGCCCTCAAGCCCACATAAACTTACCATTACTCATGCTTCCATAACTTCCCTCGTTTCAAAATTTCGAAACCAAGGATCGACCCCAAATCCTAAGTAATGGTAACAAACCCTAAACCCTAAACCCCAAGCCCTTAACCCTAAACCCTAAACCCTTAAACCCTTAAACCCTAAACCCTAAACCCTAAGCCTTCCAACACCAAGCCGGCCTCCTCACGGCACTGCAGTCCACCGTCTGTGGGTCCAGCAGTGGCGCTTGCACTTGCACCCTGGGAAGGTTGTGCTTACTGGTGGTTTAGGCCATTTCCTTGGTGCCACGCGGTTTAGGGCTTAGGGTTGCTACATATCTCGAGTGGAACACTAAACCCTAAAACCCAAAAAGTAGGTAAAATAATGGCCCAACACCTCTAAATATTGCCCAAAAGGCCATTATTTTACATACTTATGGGGTCCAGGTAAGGCCTAACTCCAACTTGGGTCATCCATAAAAAGGTCAGCCACGGGATTGTACGAAGTGGCACAGCCCAGGTCAAAGTGAAGATCTTTCGGTTCCATAAACCTTCACGCAGGTAACGACGCAACCTGTGGGTCCAAGTATCCAAATAATGGGGTTGAGGGTTTAGGTTTTAGGGTTGTAAGCCCAAATACCATTATTCAGAATGGTCTTTGGAACCTACACCCCGACTAATTGGGCACTTGGACCTCAAAGCCCTTTGTATCCCTAAAAACAGGTGCCCCAAGCTGGACAGTAAATATACATGTATGTATATACATACATACACATATTCCGGAGGAACATGATGCAAACTCACTAGCTACAATAAGAAATACCTTGCTTCATATGATTATTGTATACCCGACCCTTAGGGTTCGAGTTTCCTCAACCCCAAACCCTAAACCCTAAACCCCTAAACCCCAAACCCTATGCCCAAGCTGCCGTACCCAGAACAGCACTCCGGAAGCCCATCTTGGACCCAAATGTCAGGTCTACCTGAACCCCCAAAGTAGGTAGAATAATGGCCCAAAGCCCCTAAATTGGAAGTTTCCCTAAATTACTGTTCCCAAAATGGGGGAAATGTATATAGGGCCCCGTATTATAATAGGAACCCAAATATAGGACCCCGTATTGACAGTAATTTAGGACAATCCCCAAATATAGTCCAAAAGGCCATTATTTTACATACTTATGGGGTTTAGGGCTTAGGATTGAAGATGAAAGTTTGGGGTTTCAGGAGACTGCAACGTATAGACCCTCGGGGCACGCCCGTACAAAAGTTACGGGGCGTTGCTAAATTGTTCAGTACTATTCTCCTGTTAGGAGCACTTTACATTCAGGGGCAAAGCTAGTGCGGAATTTGAAGAATATCCATTAGGAGAACCCCCACCCTGTAATAGTGGT